CCCCCCCCCTCTCTCTCTCTCTCTCTGTGCTATGTGCGCGAGATGATGTTGGTCCAGCTCAGCCTCACTGGGTCATTCCAGGTGCGTTTTCCACAAGACACGTCAAGTCCCCGATTCTCGGGCCGGTGACACGCCTCTTCTGCAAACATTTTGTTGTGTTTTTTTTTTTGTTTTCTTTGCCGTTTTCGCGCAGTGTCACCTCTCGCTGAGCTTGACGTCGGCGGCGGCACGGCGGGGCGGTGCAGCAGAGACTTCCTGCTGCAGCCGGGGCGTCAGTCTAGGCGGGCGGGCGTGCCTCGGGTATCGGTGCCACGGGGCGTGCAGTGCTGTATCGGTACGTCTGACCCGAAGCCGCCCTGCTGCAGCCCCGCAGCCCCGCGCTGCACCGCCACGCCACGCTGACCAGCGCACTGCACCGGACTGCGGGGCGTGGCGGGGCGTGGCGGGGTGGGTGGGGTACTAACTGGAGGCTGGCCGAAGGCCCCGCGGCGTGGCGTGGCGTGGCGTGGCGTGGCGTAGCGTGGCCAGGCCCGCTGCGCGCCCCAACCTCGATAATGTGCAGTTTCCTGCACGACTCAGTCATTGGGAGCATCGAGATGTGTGCGTTCGGCACAACACAACGACGACCTCTCGGGTGATCTCTGCGAAGAAAAAAGGGAGAGAGAGAAAGAGCAGGAAACGAAGAGTTCGCGAATAAAAGGGGGAAAGAGAAGTGCCTGGCGTCTTTGGCACGTTTGTTTATGTTAAACATTTCGTGTACGGGGTTACGTAGCGTTTAGTACGTAAAACCGAACACCTGTCAAAATCGGAATTCGTATGTCGTGGGATCGCAGTCGTCCAAAGCGTATATGGTTCCTTTGGAGCCCCACTTTAGCGGGTATAACTCATTTGGTCCGACACTTCCTGAAATGGAATTAACGCGAATGCGCTGTCCATCGAAAAGTCAAAACCGAGGTAGAAATCACTTTCTTGCGTTTCTTCCCTTCAGTGGTTTTTGCTGCTGAGATATCTACTTGTACACTGTACTTGTTTCTCCTTCTCTCGTTCGTCTGTCCACTCGGCCCGCGGCCGCGCGAGGTCAAAAG